AGTTTGAGGATGATAGGGAAGGGAATCAGGACATAGCAACATTTTTCCGCCCTAAAAACAATGGTACCATTCAAGCTGAGGTGTTGATGGTGCAGTTTCTTACTGAGCATGTACCGGTATGCGCATGTTATAATAAGAATTTGGATTACCTGTATTGCAAACGCAGGTTTCTATGCCTATATGACAAAAATGTCCCATGAGGGTATCCCATGGGAAAATTACACGGTGAATTGGCCACCATGTAGCATGGGATTTTACCCATGGAATTTTGCCCATGTGTATTTCAAGAACCCCATGTAATCTCAGAAAAATATTGTTATGAATTGTCATATCCCATGGTGATTTTCCCACACATTCAGTGGTGATTTGCCCATTTGTCCCATAGTGATTTTCCCATGCTTCCCATTGTGATTGCCCCATGCATCCAATGGTAATTTTCCCATGCGTCTCATAGTGGTTGTCCAATGGTAATTTTCCCATGCGTCTCATAGTGGTTGTCCAATGGTAATTTTCCTATGCGTCTCATAGTGGTTGTCCAATGGTAATTTTCCCATGCGTTCCATGGTGATTTTCCCATGTCAATTGTTCCTTGCATCCCATGGTGATTGTGTTATGTCAATTGTCCCTTACATCCCATGGTGATTGTGTTATGTCAATTGTCCCTTGCGTCCCATGGTGATGTACCCATGCGTCCCATGGTAATTGTGCCATGTCGATTGTTCCTTGCATCCCACGGTGAGTGTCGCATGTCAATTGTTCCTTGCGTCCCATGGTGATTGTTCCATGTCAGTTGTTCCTTGTGTCCCATGGTGATTTACCCATGCCTCCCATTGGTGAATGTCCTGTGCATCTCATGGTGACGGGCAAAGTTGCAGTCATCAAATCAACATGCCATTCCAAACTGTGTACTGTAGTTCATGCCAATGCATTTTAATGGCAGCAGCTGATATGGTTTACAATACAACAAACCCTACCAAATCACATAATGGTGCAGGCATGCTCTACACCACTGACATATGTATTCATAAAAATTGTACAGGTAAGTGTAAATCTTAACGGGTATGCGTACATGTGTACTACACGTGAATACATGGAAATGTATTAGGTGAAGCTCAATAACGTACGTTTTAAGTCAGTGTTTTCAAATATCATGAGTACAATTTATCTTAGGGAAAGAGAGCAAATTAAAGACAAGTGTCATACATGAAACATTCTCATATCACATGCATTCAGTGAACATATATCTGCACAATATTAATGCCTCTGCATCTGACAGGAAAAGAACTTAGTTTAAGAATGAAACCACTAGCAGAAACAAAAATGAATGTGGCACAAAGAGATCCAAACACCTTATTTTTATGCATGCGAATTAACCTGAGATGGTGTTGAAGATTAAAATCAAAGAATGGGACTGCTAAGTAATCTCCCTAGCAATTAAATATACAGCAGGTTTGGTTAACCATTACTGTTGTTCCAATTTCCTTGGGATTTCTATACCATAACATTTAGTTCTTTTATGAAAGTTGCACAACTATTGTTACAAAATATTTTTGTTCTGAACACTACAGCCTGTACCAGGTGCCAACCGGTTGTTTTTGCTACAGCGTTATTCATTCGCTCAAAAAACCCTGTCATCTATGGATTTTTTCCTCATTTTTCTTATTTTTTCTCATAGTAGTTCAAAACCACATAAAATTAGAAAACTAAAACGAGCCATTGAAATGAAAGTTGAGTATATTCCCACCCCCAAAAAAGCAGCCAGTCTTTCAAAATTATGGTAAAAAAATGCGTGTCCCCAACCTTAAATCTAATTTTCATTGATGCAGGAATTCAGACTTCTCTTTTTGCACAATGAATCAGCACAAGCAAAAATTCCACACACACACAAAAATGTCCTATCCACCTAGTATCCATAGCAAGAAATCATGCAACAGGATGCAATTAAACTACCGGTATTTTTAGGGAGGGGTCCAAGCAAAACTTCAAGCAAACAATAAGCTTATTGTTTGCTTGATGTTCTGACATCTGTCAGTTCATACGCCATTGTTTGCGAAATTTGTTCTGTTTGTTGAAGTGCATAATGGAATATCTCACATGACTTATAATATTCACCAACTCCTTCAAGCAGTCAATTCTGTTCGGAGCTGGGGACCATTATGGGCAAACTCAACTTATGTTTTTGAGTCTTTCAATGGTACACTGCTAAAGCTGTTCCACAGGACTCAAGGCATGCCACAACAGATCACAGACAATTTCACCATATGGAAGCACTTACCAAAGCTCATGTCTAAATATGTCCTTGATCATAACTTACCTGAAGTCCAAATGCATTGTGACTCATTGTTAGATGGTATTTTGTCAATAAGGCATGCTTTTTGAGGACATAACTTTATTTTGTTGTCCCAAAATACGAAGAACTACTGCCCAGGAAAGGATTGCTTTGGAAACAGCTTTAGATAACCCTGTTCCAGATTATGTTTCCTATGACCGCGTTGTTGTACATAAAAAATTAATTCACACAAAGGGATATGACAGGGTTACACATAGAAATTCTTTGTATGTAATACTGCATGATGGATCATTTGTTACAGTGTAATTTGTTGCAAGTCAGCACACAGAAAAGCATACTAAAACATAAGAAAACAGGTGCAAGTGCACCACACATAAAGGTTGTTACAAGTGTAAGTGATATTATTTCTATCTGCCAGCCAGAACATGTAAAAAACAAATGTCTTTTCATTAGAAAAGGACAGCTTTTCCCTAACTCATACGTATGCACGTTCCCCAACACTATCGAAAGTGATTAAAATTTCAAGTTTCTTGAGCTACATGATGTGCATGTAACTGTAACCAGTGAAGTAAAACCAGTGAAGCAAATCAGGCATGGTTCACACTTATTGTTGAAGTTACATGTACACAAAAAACAGTATTCCCATGTAATGAAGCTTTTGTAAATTTAATAAAGTAAACCTAGTAAACTTAATTGATTTTTCATTGTCCTCCTTATGGTTGTCGATGTACAACCACAGAGCATTAATTGTTAACAGGATTTTGTCACCAACTGTGTAGTATTCTGTTTATTTGTGTGCAAAGCTTCTAAGTGTACCTGTGTAGATGCCATATCAATGCAAATCCCAGTGTTCTCTTGATGATTGCAAAAATTTGAATAGTGTTTGTTTGGCGTTTTTATGGTGTCGGCATACAAATCACATTGTATTCCCATGTCGTCAATAAAACTCCCATGGTGTTCCTATGTTGTCTCCGAAATCCCCATGTTGTTCTCATGTAGTCAGGTAAAACCCATGGTGTTCCTATGTAGAGTATTAAAACCCTATGGTGTTCCCGGGCTGATCATAAAAGCCTCATGGTGTTCATATGGTACCTACAAAATGTCCCATGGTGATCACTTCAATCGACATTTTTTTTTGCCAGTCCCATGGCGTACACTTGGGGTCCCATGGGCAGCCCATGGGACACCATGGGATCTGCATGGGACATTTTTGTAAGGGAATGCTGCAGGTGCCCTGTGGAAGTACACGATACACATCACAAAGTACACATAATCAAAGGCTGTACATTTGATTTATAATTTGGCATGCAAAGCAAATATAATTCAAAACTGTTTTTCATTAAAATATATTAAAATATATACTGAAAACTCCCATACTACATGTACAATGTAAACATGCATTGTTGTACATTGCACATCAAATAAAAATAGTATTTTCATAGCCAATGGGCTCTGCGATAGAAATTACGGATATCCTCAGATTTTTTATTTCCATTGTCATTTCTTAATACTTTTATAACTTTGCATTAGAGTCAGTATGGATAATCAGTGACTCCATCATTCAGAGGGTGGAATGCCCCTTTGACATATCTGTCACCGTCATGTGGAAAGGGAAAGATGGGGCCGGGCGTGGGGGATGTCTTCAGTCTCCTTGGGGATGTGGGTCAATGTCACCCTCCACCACATTTATGAATTCTTCCCATTGGGACAAATGACCTCGTAAGGGTTTTATGAGTGTGGCCTTCAAATGAGGGTGGCGGTCATGCTGAGCAATTGTGCAGGTATATTCCTGGTTTCTACCTCGCATATTCTACTGTGGTGCTCGATCAACCAACCAAGCGTTGTAATAAATGGGCAAAGTGTGCCAAACTGCCAAATGCATGCTGCCTTCTTCACCCTCAGTTTGTTTGGTCTGAGTTCTCTGTGTTTATGAGTAGGGGTTTACCTATCCCAGTCTGGTAACGGTGTGTTAATCTGTGCCAATTCAATTTCCATCCTTTTTGGGGGGCTAATCTATGAAATAAAGTATCACTTTTAAGAAACCTACTGTATGCTCTTTATCATTTAGACCCATATGGACAGTCTACAAAACTTTGGTATGGGATATGCTACCATAGTTTTATTTCTACTACATGTTCATTTTATTTCAGCCACCAAAGTGAACTTTTACTATTTTTTGCTTCAATATATAAATAGATTATCCAAGCCCATAAGTTTGAGTGTCAGAATGTCTGTCCAACAAATAAAACAACGTACCGTGCATGTACAAATGTACACTTACATGTACACCAGCGTATGCATGCTCCGGACTGAAGCAAAAGAACTCCCTGGCCAACTACCCAGTTTACTGTGACACACCTTTCCATACCATCCAAAACTGTCCAACAGCAAAAGCACTATGTACCGGTACATGTAAATATATATAGGCGGTTAATTGGAACTAACATCTTCCTTGTACATAAGGGTTTTTGGTCAGTTAAATGGAAGAATGTAACTGAATAATCACCATAGGATCAATTAATTGAGGCAAATCGTACTTGTGCATGTGGTCACAGCAGAAAGCACTCTCAGGATGTCTGGAAATGGGAGAGACATGTAATAAGTGCAGGGGAAACAACATTGAATTGGAGCGTTACATTTTCAGATTGTTCAGAGTAATGGATACAACCACAAAAAGGCATTAGTTTTAGTTTGAAATATTGTCTTGCAGGTGGAGAGGTTTTGCACACCAGTGCAATCAGGCCGCCTGGTATCTACGGAGCTGGTGAACAGCGGCATTTCAGCAGACTTATGGTAAGGAAAGAGTTAACATGGTAAACTAGGTCTGTTGTTTTACAGCCTTGCCCCCTCCCTCTTCATATCTTGGCTATTACTGGCGGCCTTAGAGACAACTAGGCTTGACATATATAATGTATGTGAAGTCTGAATACAGTCATGCAATATGATTTGTGCATGTTCAATGATCACTAGTTCCTCTATTTCACACCACCATCCAGTGTTGTAATCGTTAAGAGTAGTCTTGGTCTTGAGACCAATTCGAATGTGGTCTTGGTCTTGAACATGTTTGTCTTGGTA